ATGGGAACCACGTTGGCCCTCTTCCAATCTTCCGGCACCTCTCCAGAGCACCACGAGTGTTCATAAAGCCGTGCCAGGGGACTTGCAATGACCCCAGCCAGTTCCTTTAGGACTCTAGGGTGAAGATCGTCTGGGCCGGCTGACTTAAAGACGTCCAGCCCCTCCAGAAGCTCCCTAACTAAATCCTCACTCGCTCTAGGCCCAGATGAGCCCTCCCCGGGGCCCGAAGGGGGCCCAGCAGGGAGGCGGCAGTTCTGGTCCTTACTGAGGAAGACAGAGGCAAAGAAGTTATTAAATATGTTGGCTTTGTCGTCTGTTGCTATTAGGACTAGGTGGGACCTTCCTAATCCGTCTGTTCTCCTGCAACCTAGGTGCTTCAAGGACATGTTTTGTGGACTCCATTCTCTACTGTGCTCGCACCCATGTCTCACAGATGATATGCCTAATGCTTTCTCCTAATCTTTCTCCACCTCTTTGGGTTGGCTCAAGTTCAGACAGCTCCAGGATCACAGCTCTTACATGCTTCCTAGCCCAAGGTGAAACTGTACTATCTCAGAATCTCAGCTTCCCTGGCCCTGGTTTTGGGGGTGTTTTTTGGCTTTGGCTGAAACGTCAATGGCTACTGAGCTGCCATAGCTCCCCTAGTGTCTCTGTGCCCAGGGTGAAGCTGCTTTCACTCAACCTTGGATGTGCCCTAGCCCCTCCTGGGCACTGGACCCTCCTGATCCTCCCAGGCACCAAACCTTCTCTCAATGTGCCCCCTGAGGTGCTATGGGACCTCTACCCCTATAGTCCCTCCCAAACCACGGATTATTTTACAATCTACTTCATCCTATAACATCTACTTCATCAGACACCAACAAAACATAAGCCCACTTGGCTATCCCCAACATCACATAACCAAAACGTAAGCCCAGGGTACCCCACTGGATTCGACTAAGGGCCATGCAAACCTCAAACAGTCTCCACAGCCCCTTGATACAGAGCCTCTCTGCCTGCTCCCTTGTCCATGGGATCTAGTCTGCCTGCTCTTGCTCAGGCCCCAGTTCCTTCCCAGAACTCATCCCCTTCTAGTCAGGAGGCTCTTCCCTTCTGATCAGGTGGTTCTACCCCATCTACCCACCAGGGTTTCTAATTTTACTTCCACATTTCTGATCCCTGCTTGCCTACTCTCTGTAGTTGCCCCACAATGGGCATGGTTTCTCCCACTTAGGTATCACATCCCTTCTACCCGTCTCCAAGAGGTAGTTCCACTCATTCCCTTTACAGCAACCCCCATCCTTTCAGTCTCCCCATAGGCCAACACTCAATCTGGGATCTTTCCTACCATGGAGGATAGAGGTCAGTCCTCTACCAAGCCTGTACCGCACACCAAAATTTCCCACATTCCTGGAATTCTGGCTGTAGCTCCACACAGGTCTCCACTTGGCAGTCACTGTAGGGGGCTGTCCCTTTATCCATTCTTACCCTCATGGGACAGCCACATAGCAATTGTTCATTTAACAGGGATACTGCCTATAAGTCTTCCTGGGATGTTCATACTTCACTGTCCCCATTCCTTCACTTTTTCCCCTTCTGTTTCTCCACACTTCGGCATGCCTCATAGTTCCTGCCTGCTGGAACACTTGTTTCAGTCTTTTCCATCTTATGCTGAAATATAGATTATATACAAATATGGTCAACCTGTCACTATTCATCTTCTGGTTTGGCTTACCCTGGAACAGGATCTGCAAAAGCCTCTTCATAACTCTTGCACATGCTGTCGCCATCTTCCTCTCTGGCTGCAGCTCCTGTCTGGATTATCTCCAAGGAGGGCGGTTCCCAGGACTCAAATTCCTCTCAAGTGTATTCAAGGCCTCCTCCATCCACACCACTGCTTTCTGGTGGGCCCCCCTTTTCTTTTGTCCTGAGACCTTGCTGTTGGACACAGGCATGGGCTCTCTCTGTGTGGGGTAGATGGACCTTGTCCCTTCACTTGGCCTCCCAAGGTTTCTTCCTCAACTCCACATTTTCTTTAAGGGGCATTCTGGCAGGTTCCCCCTTGGCTGTGATGGACTTGGCCTCTGCCCTCTCTTCTCCCAGGCGTCCCTTGTGCCAAGACTGCTCCTGATCTGCTCTTTAGTCTCTTTTACAAGGACTCAGATTCTCTGCTTCCTGTTGCAGGACTTCAGCTGGCCTCATCATAGCATCTTCCAACTCAGCTTCTAGGCTCAGAATTTGGCCTTTTAAAGGCTACCACCTCCATCTCTTGCCACTCCTGGGTGTGGTGTCCCACCTCCAGCTACTTCAATAGCTCCTGCCTTTCCTGCTGAGAGGCCTTGGCTTGGGCAGCGAATCTTGCCAGCTCCTTACAGTCACTGAAAAGCTTTTGCTGACTTTATCTCAGCTTGTTCTCCAGTTCATGGAGCTACGCTTTTAGTGGCTTAGCTGCTCCTAACCCTCACCCTGCTAACCCCTCACAGTGAGTTCCTGGATCTCAGCCTTCAGGTTTTGAACACATTGATGCAATGCAGCTTTCTCCATCTATCGCCTCCACCAAGGCTTGGCTCACATCTCTGGCTTTCTCCAGGGTTTGCAGCCGGGCAATTACAGCTCTGCTGCTTTTCCTTGTTGGAGCTTTTGTATCTGTTGCAATGCCTTTTCCCTCTCCTGCATGACCTTTCCTGCTCCTCTCTCAATGCAACTAGCTACTCACTGTGAAATTGCTGTATCTTCTGCTGCTGCTCCTTCTGAAATTGCAGGTGCTGTTGTTGGAGGTGCTGAAACCACTGCTGCTGGAGCTGCTGCTCAATCTCCTTAATTCTTTCTTTCATCAGCAGCCAGCAGGTATCTCAGGGTACCTATACACATGCAGAGAGGCTGCTCTGATGCACTTTAATTAGCGTGTCAGAGCATGGTAATTACCATGCTCCAGCAGACTCCAGCGTCATATGTATCAGTGTCCCCGTGCTGAAAAATGTCAGTGGTGGGGAGGTTTTAACTAAAGCTCATTGACTAATTAAATGGCCCCACCGCCATTTTTCAGTGTAAGGATGCTGATGCATGTGATGCTCTGGGTGCCTTAATTAAAGCCACTCTAAAGCACCCTCCCCTCCCCCATCCACTCCCAGAGCACATCTATAAGTGTCCTCAGTTCCTTAGTCTCTACTCCTGGTGAGCAGCTGCTGCTTCAGGAATGCTACCATTGTTGCAGCCTGCTGGCACCTCTGGCGCTCCACCTCCAGCTCCCCTATCCAGCGAGCTGTCACCCTGGCCACCTAGTCCACAAAGAACTGAGACTGAAGCAGTTCTCTCACGGTCCTCTGGGAGAGGGGCACTCCTGGCTTGGTCCCCAGGCTCCTCTGTGAGCTGACCTGCCAGTTGTTTCCCACTCAACAGAGCTCTTGCAGACCTCCAACTTCCAGCTTCCTCCTTGTAGCTTCCAACCCATAGCTTATACTTTCATAGTTTCTAGGGTCAGAAGGGACCTGAGCAGATCATCTAGTCCGACCCACTGTCATGGCAGGAAAGAGTACTGGGGTCAAACGACCCCAGCAAGGTGTTCATCTAACTTCCTCTTAAAAACCCCCAGGGTAGGAGCCAGCACCACTTCCCTTGGAAGTTGGTTCCAGACCCTAGCCACCCTGACCGTGAAGTAGCGCCTCCTGATATCTAACCTAAACCTATCCTCTGCCAGCTTGTGACCGTTATTCCTGGTCACTCCTGGTGGTACTTGGGGGAACAGTGACTCCCCCAATGCCTGCTGATCCCCCCTGACTAGTTTATAACAGGCCACAAGATCCCCCCTCAGCCTTCTCTTTTGGAGGCTGAACAGGTTCAGGTCC